CAACTAGACTGAAGAACAAAACGACAGCAACTTGTCTGTTCCCCTTCCCCTAATTCCCCAGCACTGTTCCCATCCCCCCAATTACCCAATAAAAAAAAATCAAAAAAAAAAAAAAAAGAAGAAAATGATAGCAGTTATGTACCCACTAGAGGAAGGTTAGAGATGGGCGACAGAAAGAGCTCTCATTGGGGTCCTGCAAACTTCAGGTACTGAAGATGTAAATCTTTCTCAGATGTATGAAGTGTGTTGTTTTAATTGTGCTTAGAATCATCCTGGATGTTTTGCTTTCAGTAGTTGCTAAGGAATTTGGAATGGGATGTATCATATCTTCCTCCTGGACCTACTAAAGCGAGCCCTGTGGTGGGTTATACCGTAGCAGCTGGCAAGATGACATAGCTCAACTTTTTATTATTATTATTATTATTATTATTATTATTATTATTATTATTATTTAGCTGAGCCATCCTGCCACCTGTTGGCAGCTCAGCAGCAGCTCAGCTCGGGCTGGGAATCAAACCGCTGTTGCTCAGAGCTCACACTCGAGCAAGCTTTTAACCAACTGAGCCTCTCGGCCAGCCCGACGTAGCTCAACTTTTTGAACCCTGGTCTGGAAAGCAGAAATTTAGTGATGCATCTGAAATGACTCACCAAACACATAAAATGTTCACGTTATTCAGCAAAAAACTGGTTTTCTTAGCACCTAGATTCTATCGCTCACTCGGCCTACAATGCTTAGAGCCCGACCAGCGAGTCTCTGAGCCTCAGCCTTGTCACTAAAGCTTTCACCAGGGTGACCCCAGTGTCTTACTCCCCACTAGCTCTGTACATGGGTTCCTTCCAGCCCCCGCCCACTTCACCTCTGTTCATGTGTCTGTCTTTCCCCCACTTTGTGCCTCCATCTTGGCCTCGCTCCACTGTCCTCGTTTTCCCAAAGCTTTCACTAATCAGACATGAGTGATTAAAGAGTATCTTTAAGTATGAGCATTATTTTTATATTCTAAGAATATTTTATACCTTTTTTAGGAAATTCTACCATGTACTGTAGCTATTTAAGTTTATTTTATTGCCTCATTCATCTCTAACCTCCATGTTTATAATTATCTTGTTAATTGCTGAATAGAAAAAATACTGAACAAGGCATTATAAGGTCTTTCTAGCTTGAGCAAGTCATTTTACCTCTCTAAGCCTAAGGGCTTGCTTTGTAGGAGTCAAGAGAGATGATTTATATATAAACATATATATTAAAATTTAATATAATTTAATATACATATATTAAAATTTTTTACATGGGTCAATAAAGGTTTTCTGTCCACTGTGTTTATGAGTATTTATAATGTTTCCAAAATTCCAGTTAAACCAACTACCTCCATAGTAGCCTTGGGGAGAGGAGCTTGGTCAGAGGGTAGGAAGGTGGGTTATCGTTAGTACCAAGGACTTTAGGAGACCTGGAGATGGAAACAAGGCACAGCGGGGACTGAAACAGCCTAGATGTTGACCAGGAAGGGCAGCTTAATTAGCTACTGTTTTTCTCAGGTTAGGCTCAGGGCTTTTCTGTGGTTTCCTAGAGGCAGAGTCAAATCTCTCAGTATGACGGGCTCAAGCTTGAGGAGTTAATTATGAATACCTCTCCACTGAAATTCTAACTGGTTTTTCTGTCATTATTATGAAAGTGGTTTTGTAACAATGACCCAAGGTTTTGGGACCTGGGAGCCCTCCTCACAGTGTGTCGTTCAGGACCCTTGGTCAGAGATTGATTGTAAATCATGGTCCACATGGACCAGAGGAGCTGTGCGCTGGGCCTAGTCTTGGGAGGTGCCTTCCAGTCATCAGAGAAGAGCCGGTTCTGTCTGCTGTGATGGTAGGGGCGTCTTAGGTTACTCCGAGCCTTGGGAAATGAGTAGACCACGTGTTAACAAATGCATGCAGGCGAAATGGCCGCTTTCTCACCTCGCACTGACGCTGCACTTAGCCCACTCTGAGCAGCCATTCCTACCACTGCACTGGAAATGCAGGTCAGGCACCGTGACCCTGCCGCTCCCCGGTGCTCCCTTCTCAGCTCTGGCCCTTCCCGTGTCGTCAGCGAGAGGATGTGACCACTGCCTTCCCTTGAGATGGTTTCTTCTCTGCGCATCTGTGTTACCCAGTCTCCTTGGTTTTTCCGTCCTCATTGGCTGTTCTTTCAAGAGCTGGAAGATAAAAGCTGGAATATACAGGAGATATGGATTGGATCTAGGAAATGTGTTTCGAGTCATTAGAGCTACTCCTAATACATTGCTCAGCGAGAAGAGTTTTTTCCTAATTTTGTGTATATATTAGTGATACATGTTCATTTATCACAAAGCTGATATTATAACTCATTTTTTGAGAAATATTACTTTTTCATCTTTTAATCTTCTAACTTATTCAGATTCTAGTCACTAATTGCCCTGACTGAGCAAAGCAGGACGATTCTGTGGCACTTTGGACTTCAGATCCGGAGAGCTCTATTAACAAAGAAGGGCGTGTTAACTAATTTGATTAACAAATAAATGTTTCCCAGCCTGGTACCCTATTCAGATTTTTGCTATCAGTTTGTGAATAAATTAAGCTGTCCCTGCCCTGGGGACTACTGGGACGTGTGGTGTGGGAATCTCTGTCTTTCCCACAGACTCTGCATTTTCAGAATTCTTCTGCGGGAAGATCCCGACACACTGTGGCTGTTCCTCCTTATGCAGCGGATTCTCCCTGGAGAGACAGAGTAGAAATTGCACATCAACTTTTTCTCCAGTCTATTCTCATGTCACTTCTTCAGAGAGCTACTCTTTTCTGTTAAATCATCAGTAAATATTCTAATTCAGGAAAAGAGAGGCAGCAGGAAATAGGAAGGGAAAAGAGCAAATTCTTAGCACTAGTTGGAGCACTTATGGATGTGTGATTAATTAGTCTGTTAAATTGCAATATTTTCTCAGAGAAGCTTTTTAAAAAGCTCTTAAATATATATATATATATATATATATATATATATATATATATATATATAACACACACGCCTATGTCAGATACACCCAAGGGAACTGAAATCATGTTCATACAAAAGCTTGTTCATATGCAGCATTCATATGTAGTTCATATGCATGTGCATAGCAGCGTTTTCATAATAGCCAAAGGGTGTCTCTCAGCCCAGGTGTCTATCAACTGGTCAGTGTATAATCAAAATGTGGTCTATCCACACAATGGGATATTACTCAGCCATAAAAAATAATGGAGCACTGACACACGCTGCAACATGGAAGAACCGCAGAAACATTAGCCTTAGTGAAAGAAGCCAGTCTCAAAGGTCGCAATCCGTGTGATCCCGTTTATGTGAAATGTCTATCACACAGAGATCTACAGAGACTGAAAGCAGATCCCTGAGAGCCGGGGAAGGGGTGGGGGAGGCGAGAGTGCAGTGTCTCAGTGGGTACCGGGTGTCTTTTTGGAGGGATGAAAATGGGCTGTAATTTGATAGCGGTGATGGCTGCACAGCTTTGTGAATATACTAAAAATCATTGAAGTGTATGCTTTAAAATGGTAAATTTTATGTTATATGGATTAGATCTCAGTTTTGTTTTGTTTTGTTTTTAAGTATATCAAGAAACTGGATTCTTGGGTTTAGCCCAAAAATATCAGGCAGGCATTTCACATTTTGTGGACCATATCAGCTCTGACTTCAGATATGGTCCATGCTGGGGGTCATCTAGCTAATCTGTTGGAATAGAAATAGAACTAAAAGAATCATGGACTTGGAGTCAGAACTCATTATGAATGTATAGGAATTCTGCTGACTCTTGAGTGACCATGAGCAAGATGCTACCACCTTTATTCTGTTGCCGGAAAAAGGATGATGTTGTTTGCCCTTGTCAGGGTTTACCAAATCGAAGGGTCAAACTTGGTGAGAGCCAGTTTTCCACCAGCTTCCTACAGCATCTTATACTTGTCCGTGTTTAATACATACGTATGAAATGAGTGTTGATTTACATAGAAAGAGTCACGTGAGAGTGCTTTCTAAACCTAAAGTCCTATAGATAAGAGATTATGGCATTAATATATTCTGGTCTGTCTATTCCTGGACATGTAGAAACAATTTAGATGTTCTGTCACTGAGGTGTTTTGTAACTAGTTTAACGGACACACTGAATCAACTTCTTTTCTAGGCCTTGCAGTATTAAAACATGTGCTGACACCAAGAATCAAGGCAACTCACGTTGCTTTTGAGTCTATGAAGAATTATTTAGATGCAATTTATGATGTTACAGTGGCTTTTGAAGGGACTATGGATGATAAAGGGCAGCGAAAAGAAGCACCATCCATGGTTGGTAAGTTTGTTTTAAATTAAGTATATATAAATATATATTTATGAATGTACGTGATCTGACAAGTTCGCGAACTTGTTGCTAACCTTTTTTGATATCAAAGTGATTATTCATTTTGAATTTGTACCAACTGGACAATTAACCAAGTTTACTATTTGAAAGTGCTGAAAAGGCTGTGGGGAAAAGTTGGACGACCTGAACTTTTCGCCAACAATTCATGGCTCTTGCATCACGGCAATGCACCAGCTCACACGGCACTGTCTGCGAGGGAGTTTTTAGCCAGTAAACAAGTAACTGTATTGGAACACCCTCCCTACTCACCTGATCTGGCCCCCAATGACTTCTTTCTTTCCCCAAAGATAAAGGAAATATTGAAAGGAAGACATTTTAATGACACTCAGGACATCAAGGGTAATACGATGATAGCTCTGATGTCCATTCCAGAAAAAGAGGTCCAAAACTGATTTGAAGGGTGGACTAGGCGCTGGCGTCTGTGCACAGCTTCCCAAGGGGAGCACTTCGAAGGTGACTGTAGTGATATTCAGCAATGAGGTATGGAGCACTTTTTCTAGGATGAGTTTGCGAACTTAATTTCCGACCTCCTGTAACTCATTTTTTAAAAATAGCTAAGTGTACTCTACTTCATGATATATTTTCCAAGTAAATATACTCAGTATATTTTTTTAAGTATTTTTTCTTAATCTGTAACAATTTAAATCTCATTAGTCCTGCTAGGTTTGGTATGTGTTGGTTGCCATGTTAGTCCTTTAGACCTGCTTATTATCATCAACTCAGCTCTTTCAGCCCGGAGTTCACACATGAATATGCAAAGTTATAAGTCTCAGGGAGGGGTGAGGAGGTGCATGCTGACTCAGCAATACCGAGGCGTGCGCTGAGGGCCAGTGTTCACCTTGATATGACTTTTCATGGAATATTTTTGAAATTTAGTATCATTGGCAAGAAAAAAAGACAATTGATTTTCAAACATGCTACGTTTTCAGGATTTTTGAGTTATTGTCTATGTGTATATCAAATGTAACAAGAAAAAAATAGAATTGTAAGTAAGCAGAATATTTTAGAGAAATTTAAACACGGTAATAGACAAACAAGGAGGTGTGTGGAGTAGCCATCGCCTTCTCAGAGTATCCACTGGAGCTGTGATGCAGGGACAGAGCACCCGGCTCTACACTGCGCCTCGGCGGCTGTTTGAAGTGGAGCTGATGTGCTTGTCAACAGCGCTTCTGTCAGTTGGATCTCTTGAAGGCTGATGTTCAACGTATGTTCAAAAGGTGTAGACACCAGCTCCCCAGAGAGAGGATGGAGGGGTGAGGCCCAGGGGCTGAGTGCTGTGAGAGCTGGTCATGGTGCCAGGAAATGACCTTGTAATTGCAGCTGGAGTGAGACTGGCTGTTCTCACAATTGCCTTGAACAGACTAGTTGCAAGGGGGAAGCTGAAGTTTCCTTCATTTTAAATGGCATTTTTTGGACTATATTATATATCAAACAGTTTTAAAAGCGAAACGGTGTAAAGTGTGCAGTGGAAGGGCTTGCTCTCCACCCTGCCCCCTGCCACCTGGCCTCCCCGCTGTCCCTGAGGTAACGTTTTCTTCATTTTGTGTGGAAAGTACACGCAGATTTAAGGGTCTGTTCTTACTCTACTGTCCCTCCCTTCTTAAAAAAGGCAACATACTAATATTTTTCTTCCTTTTTTAACCATCGAAGGCGTCACTGACCTCTTTTTACGTTTGAAAACAGACATGCATTTAGTTCAACAGCATTGTCATTAGATCAAACATTCTTTTTTTTTTTAGCTGAGCCATCCTGCCACTGGTTGGCAGCTCAGCGGCTGCTCAGCTCGGGCTGGACTCGAACCGCTGTTGCTCAGAGCTCAAACTCTTGAGAGAGCTCTTAACCAACTGAGCCACTCGGCCGGCCTCATCAAACATTGTTTAAGACATAAGATTAAACACATTTTTATTGTTTCTGACAAACAGATATAATTCCCGTGTCACCTTTGCAGAATGCTTCTTCACTGTGTCGCCCTCCTGGCGGTGCGCACCTGTTGGTTGGCTGCACTCACAGTGTGGACGCCCGGGGACCCTGTCTCTTGCAGCCCGAGCGCCCGCCTTCCCTGTTTCCTCCACCCTGTGCCTCCGCGGGGACGGGCACACTCCCTGGCACTGAGAGCCTTCTGGGATGGCAGGCTGTGTGCAGGCCGCCTTCCTTCCCCAGTGAACCCCGGGCCTGCGTGCCCCCCCCCAAGCCTGCNAGACGTCGTCTCCGCGAAGGCCTCGTCCTTTGCTTCCTGGCCCACAGAGCTTCCTGTCGCTTCAGCACTCCCATGGCACAAACTGCCCGTGCCACAGTCAGCACTTAGCCTGTGCTGACTCTGTGTCCCGCGGGGATCACAGGTGCCGACCCAGGGCCCCCCACTGCTCGGCCGCCTCCGCTGCGCGTAGCTGGCAGCAGCCCTGTGTGTCCTTGCACATCACCTCGGTTTGGGAAGATGTCCGCTTTCCTAACTCTCAGCCCAGAAGCCACATAGAAAATAAAGCCTATCATCTCAGTCAATCAAGGATGAGTATTTGTGCAAAGAAAAATACACCAGAGTGAAGTCAAAAGACTGAGGAGAAACTGGGAAAATATTGGCAGCTCAGACCACAGAAAAAAGGCTTATTTCCTTAATGTATAAAGTGCTCCTGCAAATTGATAAGATGCTCAATAATTCAATAGAAAAATGGGTAAAAGATGAGAAAAGACAGTGCACAGAAAAAATGTTCAACCTCATTCACAGTAAGAAAAATGCAAATTTAAACTTACAGTGAGATACCGTGATTTTACTATCAGATCGGCAAAATTCCCAATAACGGTTTCGTACCGGGCCCTGCAGGTGAGAAGGTGTAACACGCACATTTACGCTCTGCAGTTAGAAATCAGTGCAGTGCAGCCTGTGTAGGGTTGGTCTTGGGACGTCCAGCCAGTTATAAATGCATTTCCATTGCCCCTGCTGAGGCGAGGTCCTATAGCTACACCTGCGCCTGCAGGAAGTGACATCTGGTTTTCTTTGTGTGTTAATGCAAATTGCGAGTTGGGACCTATAGCTTGCGATACCCTCCTCTTATTATTATATAGATGTATTGATATTCTGCTCTACTTATAATCTAGTATAGATTAAAATTCACTTTAAATTATAATGTAATTTGGGTTAGGTATAAAATTCCATAACTTAGAATACTGGAAGAACTTTGTGGTCAAGTTTTATGAGTATTAAGCATTATCTCCATACATAGTGGGCTGTCACTGAATATTCATCTTTTACAGCCCAATTTAAAAAACATTTTCTACAGAGTTGCTGGATGGCTCATTTATATGCCATAGGTCAGTGTTTCTCAAAGCCCTATACAGGGTTACCTGGGCGGTGGCTGAGCATGCATGGGGCCTGGCTCCACTCCAGACCCTGATGAAGGCACCCAGGTGAGGGCGGGGCTGCATGTTAATGACCTAGCAGGGGCTCTGTGACCCCTGGCCTTCCTGGGAGAGAGCTGGGAGCCCTGAGTGCCCCTGTCCTTCCTGCTTCCTGGTGTTTCATTGTGGGGGTCGGTGGGGGGGTATGGAGTAGCACCCCGCCCCCGGTGTCCGCTCAGGTTCACCTGGTCTTGTCCTCAGAGTCAGCGTGTTTCTGTGGACAGTCCACCGGGCAGAGGTGAGGCAGGGAAGTTTGACTGTAATGGACTTTAAAATTCCTGTTTCTAATGTGGGTGATTTACCCTAATAAATTATGTGCTCAAGAACAACATTTGATACTCTGTTAAAGCATTTTATGTGAGTCTAGGTAACTTTTTTCTATTAATATTTTCTTATATGACAATAAAACATATTTGGAGGGGAAAATTACAGGTAACCAAAAGAAGGGGAAAAAACTCCACAAGCTCATCTGTCCAGATGTAACCACAGTTAACAATTTGGCTATTTCCTTCAAAATCTTTTTTATAATGTCTATATATATGTTAGAGTATGTATGTACCTTTATTTATTTCTTGAAAATGAAATAATATGTGATAGATATAGATATAGATATAGATATTATATATATACCGTATTTGCCAGCGTATAAGACGATTTTTTGGCCCTGAAAAATATGCCTCCAAGTGGGGGGTCGTCTTATACGCCAGGTACACTTCAGATAGACTGCCCATAGTGCTTGCCCCGTGCCATAGTGGCCTCCCGATGCCCGCCCACTTCATTCCACATACCGTTCAGGCATCAGCAGCGCTGCTGGGTGTATGGTCGGCTGTGTGCGATTTTGCGAGTGTGGTAAATTCGGGTTACCGTATATTTCTTTACATATGCATTGAAGATTCGCGATTTTGCGCTATCATGGTGCCTGTTAGAATGTTGAAGAGCTCGCACTTGCGCACTAGTGAGGTCCCAGGGAGATGCTGATGCAAGGGTGGACCAGACTGCTATAGTGACAGGGCGGGCAAACAGGGAGCAGGGACCAATCAAATCAGGCTTTGAATACAGCCAACAGCCAAGCACAATACTGCACCATTGTACAGTACAGCATAGAAAATGTCGACCAGTCAAACCCCTATCATCCCTATCATGGCACCAGCCAAAAGAAAGAAGTATGATGCAAATTTTAAACTGAAAGTTATAAACTTTGCTAAGGAAAATAATAATTGTGCTGCTGCAAGACAATATGGAGTAACAGAAAAGATGGTTCGGGACTGGAAATCAAATGAGAAAGCATTAAAGAGTATGCCAAGGGGTAAGTGTGCATTAAGAAGAGGCACCCCACACTGGCCAGAACTCGAAAAACATGTAGCAGACATGGTGGCTCAACATCGCCAAAACGGTTATGTGGTGACACGAAATACAATACGCTTGTTTGCACTTCAGTGGGCCAAATCAAATCTGATATTGTTTTACCTTTTATTTGGTGTGTGGAAGGTGTGCGGAAGAGGGGGTAGTCTTATACGGCGAGTATATAACAAACTCTGTATTTTGAGTGGAAATGTTAGGGGGTCGTCTTATACGCCCAGTCGTCTTATACGCCGGCAAATACGGTATATATATATACAGCTGTCTTTATATCCTGTTTTTTCTTTTACATGTCAGGATACACACTTCTATAATTTTTTTAAAAAGCTACATAGTGTTCATTGATGTGAATATACAACAATTTATCAGCCCAGTTTTCTACGATGTAAGCATGGCCCAAATCCCACGGTGTGTGTGTGTGTGTGTGTGTGTGTGTGTGTGTGTGTGTGTGTGTGTGTGCGCGCGCGCTCTCCCCCCACACCCCCCCCAGAGGACAGGGAGCAGGTTATAAAGCAGACAGTCTGTGCTGGGAGCCCTGTGAGGACCCGTGTGGGGGCTCTCGCTCTGCAGCTCCTAGATAGATGGTCTCCACACCCACGTCTGTCTCCACCTTGCCCCGCCCCCCAAGCACAAAGCAAATGGGACTCGGTTTCAGCAGAGACTAGACCTTGTGATGTGTGCATGCTTCAAAGACTTTTATTACCCGAGCCATCAATATTTGCTAGGGTTCTCCCAGAAAAGTTATAGTTAGAAAAAAGTCTACCTTAATTAGAATACTTTTTCCTATATTTCTTAAATATTGTGATATAATTTTTGCTTATGCAATATAAAATATGCCCCAACTAAAATAGTTTTTACAAATATAGATACAAGAGCCTCATTAAATATTGAGGGAAGTATTGATGTCACTTTTTGTCTTTGGTGGCAGAACCTCCCGAATGTCCTTTAGCCTTTATCTGATGATAGTCTTACGGCCTATTCTTGGATGCCAAACTTCGGGGACTTGGCTGGTGTGGCTCTGCTACCCACGACTCCGGGCCTCAGTTTCTTGCATCCCTACAGGGATGTAATGGTACTTGCCCACACGGGCTTGTGAAGATCAGGTGAAATCACGTACACGAGTGTGGTGTAGACACCACAGTACCGCGCCAGCTGCAGGGGGACAGGCCCGTGTGAATTCCGGAGGCCTTTGCTCAGGGCTTCTTCCCTCCGCAGCTGAAGTCTTAGGAGAGGCATCGCCGACACCTTCTGAGCACCAGTGTCACAAGTGTTTCTGACATTCGAAGTGCAGGCGGCTTCGTTTCCTTACGGTCTGTAGCTGTATGCACAGTACTTGAAATCTCAGGGATGCGTACAGTGTCAGTTGGATGACTGCTTAGTTATGGAAACGTTGAGGGGGAGATGTAGATAATTAGTGAAGGTAGGGAAGTTGGGGTCTGCATTTTTATGGATCATAAATAGAAATAAGAGGGCTGGGAAAATGACGGCAGCTAGCACATAGTGCACATGTGTGCTTGAAACACTCCCCACAAGGACCCTGTCGGGCGGGTGCTGTTACTGTTACCTGGTCTACAGACTTGGGCGCAGGCGCAGAGCAGCTAGCGGGTCTGCCCAGGGGGCGCGGGATGGAAGGCCAGCTGCTGACTCTGTCCCTGCTCCTCACCCGGCGCAGCTCTGCTTCTGAACGTACTTCCTAAGCAGTTCTTTGAATATTTAAATGAAAGGTAGAACTTGAGGAAAATTAAGACAAAAGTAGTGAAAAATAATCTTTCCTATTGCCATATTTTTCACACTTATCCTCAAACCAATTCACTCCTACACGTATATAAACAATAAGATAATCTCTGTTGACCGAAATGCCGCATGTTACTAAGGGTTGACAGCAGATGTAAAGAGAAGCGATTGCAGTGGGTGCTCAGCACCACAGGGACGCGTGTGGGCTCAGAAGCCTGGGGGCATCTTGAAGGGTGAGCTCACGGCCTCCTCAGGCTGCAGAGCCTGTTTCCGCTTGAGAGGAAAGGCCTGGGCCCCGACTGGTGCACCCACCTGGGGAACTCCGTCTTCTCTTAAATCACGTAGGAGTGATTGCTGCTGCAGCAGGAATTAAATGTGTGCATATTCTCCCCTCTCCACCAGAGCCACCTACCAAAAACGGGAGTGCCCAGGCTCCAAGTTCTTTCTCACCTTAGACCAAAGCCGTGCTGAAAAAGAACTGTCTGCTCTTACCAGATTAGCATGTCTTAGGATCTGTGCATACTCCAGGGCTCATAGCTCTTCCACGGGAAGGATTTTGGTTCCTCAATGAAGTGGAACATGTTAACATGTGACATACTGGGTTGTTGGAAAAGTCATGACGCACTTTTGCAATGAAAAAAATAGAAAAAATACATCATGACTTTTCCAACAACCCAATAGATCAGGAAAGCAAGCAAGTCATGAATGAAAGGGGGTCTGTCTCCCGTCTGTCCTGGCCATGTAGTATTCGGTCACAGGAGGCTTGTAGGGCTCAGAGAACACGGCTCAGGGGGTTCAGTGCCTGCACTCGCCCAGTGCCTTGCCGGAACAAACCACACACACCCCATCTCAACCCTCATAGGCTCAGTCTGGTGGGAACAGCAGTGACAGTGTGTGATAAGTGGTCTCCTGAAGGTGACTGGGGGATCTGATGGTCGGTATTTGGGGGTCCCTTTGCAGGGCAGGTACATACTTGTAGCAGAGACCAGCTTCCTAATCCTGGGCTGGCTATAGAATTACAGAGTATTTACGAAAAGTAACGGTCTGTGGATTTAACTTAATGACTTTGACGATTGTGGTGGACTGGGAAAACTATAATACGCTCTCTACTTCAGCTTGAAACCCCAAACCACCAGTTTCTAATCTTTATTTCAACTTGTTTTCTTTGCTAAAGAATCGATACTTTATTTTTAAACTTTGTTTGTCTCGTTTTATTATTTTATGTAACCATAAATTCTAAAATAAAAAATGAAATATTTTTGTTTTTTGTTAGAATTTCTCTGCAAAGAATGTCCAAAAATTCATATTCACATTGATCGTATAGACAAAAAAGATGTCCCAGAGGAACAAGTATATATGAGAAGATGGCTTCATGAACGTTTTGAAATAAAAGATAAGTGAGTAACTACCCTTCTAGCACTTCAGAAACTTCGTCTCAACTAAGTTTCACTCTAGGAAACAATTTGAAATGAATGTGAAGAGTTTTATTATCTTAAGAGTGCTTTTTATAAAGCCAGGTCAGACCTTGTTCCGTGCATAATCTGTTCGTGTTTTTACTCTTTGCTGTCACACTCGCTGTGGAAGAACTTGCTGTGGGAGGCTTATCTGTTCTCATTTACAGTATTTCCGAGGTAACAGTCTGTCGTAAAATATAAAATTAAAAAAAAAAAAAAAAGACATGAAGGGCCCTATCAGGTGACCCAAATCTGCCCTGCCAGCTCAGGTACAGTGGTGGGGTTGCTGAGGGCCAGGGGTCCTGCCAGCAGGGGGTGAGAGAGTGTCCGTCTGCACGTGGAGAGGACTCCGGGATATTTGTCAGTTGACATTTTCCCAACCCAAATGTCTTGTTGCTCCTAGTGTTTTGGGGCCTAAACTGTTTCTAGGATTGACCTTGAGATTGTCCTTGCTAACAACACCACTTTGGAGCAGACGGCGGTGTTGAATGTGGCCAAGAAGGAAGTTACGGGGTGTTTGCACCTCCTGGGTGAGGCGTAGCTTCAGACAGTCACTCGGAGGGAGTGTCTGTCATGTGCCACTTATTAAAGAGCCAGCCGTGACGCAGTAGGTGACATCTGTAGCATATATTAATATCTCTTTGAGTTAATACAGATTTCTAAATGTAGAAATTTTAGAATTTTCTTTTCTTTATAGGAAGATAGAAAGTGGGTCTTACGTTTAGATATGATGTTTAGAAGTTGAATTTTCTTGGTTGAAAACTTTGTTCATTTTGCTACCAGTGGAGGTTTTATCCTTTCTGATGCATGTCCTATTTTTAAAAGATATATTTTAAATATTCGTATTTTGAACAAATACACTTCCAATTTTTGAAAAGTGGATCTATCCATTAGTTATAGGATGTACCATTTATTAAGAGCACATTGAAAAGCATGATTTTTTTTAAGACTTTTAAAAATACTTCCAAAGTTACGTTTCTGTTCAGAAGTTTTACCCAAGTGTTTTAGTCTCCTAATAAGCTTCTTTCTTCTCAGGAAACTGCTAATGTTCCTGCTTTCCTTACTGTTTTCCAGTAAAGGATTTCCTAAGTTACCCTCCTGGGTTAACTACCAAGTGGAAATTACTAAAAATATACCAAACCTAGTACAGGAAACATTATAAAGTTTATAAACAAGTAGCTACATTTCTGTATTTCATTGACTCAGCTGTACATGACTGAATTTAGTAAACCAGCCATTGAGTACCGCCCACTGTAGTTATGGCAGCAATTTTAAAAGTAAGATATGTGTGTTTTGACATGAAAATCTATTCTCAGAAACAAACGTTTTGTTTTGTTTTGTTTTTAAGATTTTGTTGGGGAATTGGGGAAGGGGAACAGTGTTGGGGAATTAGGGAAGGGGAACAGCCAAGTTGTTGTCCTTCAATCTTAGTTGTGGAGGGCGCAGCTAGCTCAGCTCCAAGTCCAGTCGCCATCCAGCCGCCCGTCAGCAGCTCGCGGCCACTCAGCTCAAGGTGCTGTGTTCAATCTTGGTTGCCGAGGGGGGGTAGCTCACCATCCCATGCGGGAGTCGAACCAGAAACCTTGTTGTTAGGAACATGCACTCTCACCAGCTGAGCCATCCTGCCACCTGTTGGCAGCTCAGCGGCAGCTCAGCTCGGGCGCAGCTCACTGGCCCATGTGGGAATCAAACCGGCGACCCTGTTGCTCAGAGCTCATGCTCTTAACCAACTGAGCCACTCGGCCGGCCGGAAACAAACCTTAACAGTGTATCTAACGTCCAATGGATCTTGTGTGATGGGTATTTTTATAAATGCAGGATGAGTCTGGACATTTTAAAACAGAGGCTACCTCTAGGGAACATGATTTCTAAGGCAAAAGAAGGACTTTACTTTTCGGTACTTTTGTGTTTGAGATTTTTATATTGAGTAAGTTCTGCTATTAAAACTTGATGTTTTTAAAATAAGATGGGGAGTGAATGAACAATGCTATTTTTTCCTTCTGGCTGCTTATAAAATTCTATGGAATAAGGGCGTTTTTGGAAGCTCCGTGTGTGCTTTTTCTTTGACCCCCGATGGAGTGGGAGCGGCAGGAAGGAGTGAAGCCGGGGAGGCGGCGACAAAGCTGAGCTGGCTTGTCAGCCGGGGGCGAGGCAGGCGGCCACAAAGCTTTAAAGACCCCAAGTTCGTAAAACAAGAACATCCCCACGAAATGACTTGAAACCGTCTGTTGTTAAACATTGCATATAATATAATTCATATACACTCATCATCCAGCATATTGTAGATTTTTTTAAAGTCTGGTAACTCCAGTTAAACCAAGTCTCCAAACCAAGGGTGTTTGTTTCCTTCTCATCTTTGTTTTCCAAGGACCTATCGCGTCTCCTGTATATAATAGGCACCCAGGAGATCATTGTTGGATTACAATATTGAAATGACTAAAACTGAAACTTAAAAAAGCTTTTTTCCACTCTGGCCATAGGTTGCTTATAGAATTCTATGATTCGCTGGATCCAGAGAGAAGAAGCAAATTTCCTGGGAAAAGTGTTCATTCTAAACTAAGTCTCAAGAAAACTTTGCCGTCATTACTGCTCCTCAGTGGCTTGACTGCTGGTATGCTTGTGACCGAGGCTGGCAGGAAACTGTATGTCAAAACGTGGCTCTATGGGACCTTAATCGGCTGCCTGTGGGTTAGTATTAAAGCGTGAGCGGGCGCTGCCTGCGGGCAGTGGGGCGTGCTGCGCTCTGTGTTACGGCAGCTAGCTGCACATGACGTCGCATTGTTTCCTGAGTTTAATAAGAAGTGTAAATAAAGCCTTGTTGATTGAACAGTGGATAAAATAGAGTTTCTGACAGGGCCACGTGCCGTTGGCCGTGGGCAAACACGTGCGTGTCACGACGTTAGCCGAACCGCTGGAAAGGGGCAGCGAAGCAGAGTGATGCTGTCCAGGGCACTTTCTGTGAGCGAATAAAGTCCCCTTCAGAAGATTGCTAGGGCTGTATAACTGGCGATTGTTTTGTAACTCAGATAGCTGCGTTCACGAACATTAACTTGCAGTATATTTCACTGTATTTGTTATTTTCAATTTTTTACAACTTGACCCATCCGAATTCTTATCACTAAAGTATTTTAGTATCCTGCAGCTATGTAATATTTTGCTTTTTGCCTAATTTCTCCAAGTCAGTGAAAGAAATGATAATATGTAAGTATTGAAAAGGACAGAAGGGAAGAGCAAAAAATATTCACGGGGCAGAAGCCGTGGGTAGAACCGGCTTTTATTCTATTGTATTATTAGCGGATTTCACTTTATGTTTGCAAAAGAATTAACATTTCTAATATTTATTGAAACAGCTGAATTTGCACACCCTGTACGCTATACAAAGGAATAATGTATAAAAGATGAGAATTCAATTTAAGTTAAAATTGTGACCCTGATTCTGTAGCAGAACTTTGCCCGACATTTTGAAAATTTAAGCTAAGCTGTTAGAATTCGCAACATCTGTGCCATAAGTACTTGAAAACCTTAATGTTTCCATTTTTCTTTATTTATATCAAAATAATTGTGTGTACTTTTGTTGGACCTGAATCCACAGATGTTTGAGGTGACAGGAGCCTTCAGACATCTGACTGGATTTACCAGTATCTGCCTTTTACCTGTTACTCTTGGGTTTAGCAAAATATTTAATCCCAAAATCATGTTTTATGTCGTCATGGTTGATTCTGACCATACCCAAGTTCTTTTCCTCGGGATTACCGGCCCTGGTGCTGCTCAGCAGACTGGCAGGCGGGAAGTGCGCATCGCCAGCCTTGTGTGTCCTCGCAAAGGGGACCGTTTAGGCTGCTGTGAGTCAGCTTCACTGGCTGCCGGGAGATGTGTTCTTCTGTCTCATGTCAAGAAATTCACCTTCCTCAAGCCAGGGAAACATGGACTTAATCCATCGGGACTAATTAGTTTAATGTGGCCTCACAATTACTCTATATCCCCTCAATACAAGAGCTGTGTTTCAGGAAGCAAACCTCCCAGCTCTCTTAGTCATGGAACAATAGAGCCTGTGGAACAGGCCCCTTTTCACAGGGGGATCTATTTCAGTGTTGTCATTTCAACCTGATTGCCTCTAGTCCTTTAAGATGATACATCTGCTTACTGCTGATGAATTTGTGTTGCAGAATTGTATCAGTGCCCCAGGGAAACACTCCAATTCAATCAGGATAAGCAAAATGAGAATTAAGGGAAATTTTGCCTGATTCTCGAGAACCAGAGAGTAAGCTGTTGCAGACAGCACCTTTGAAGAGCTGGGTAGTATGAAGTGGTTTGTCTGTGTCAGCAGGTACCTGTGTGCACACGTCCACACACACACATTCCCACGGGAAGGCTGTTGGCCTAGTTGTGAGTTAATTGGTGGGATGTCGGTAACACTTTTGAAAAGTGGTCTTATGCCAAATTGCAATTTTCTATTACCGGTAAAGTGAAATTTAGAGCCATCCTATGTATTTGTTAAATACATTTTTTTTTAATCCTAAAATTAGAACCTATTTCTAATTAGATCAAAATAAAAGTAAGTTGTGCGACTTACTTTGAATATACTAGATATGCTCTAAATTTCAATTTTAAGAAGCAAAACCATTAGAATTATGTTGATTATAACTGATTTTAGGAAGGCAGAATGAACTGCATAAGATCACTTAAACATCATGTTTCTTATGACTATACTTATTTTCTTCTCACAAAAAGTCTATAAAATACTTGTTAGTTTAAAAAAATTTGTATCAAAATATTTGGAAAATGAGAAGCTTCTTTTTAACATGTATTGACAAGACTTGAATTATTTTCTAAAATTAAGAGCGCTGTATCTCCCTGTAAATCTTTTCACATAATATCATTTAAGCTTTTGTTTGTTATTATTATTGTTGATTTACAGCTTAGTCATTGCTTAGTTTTTCTTTATAAGAATGCCATCAATGTGCATGCTTTTATGTTTTTCAGAAAAGGGTGTGTTTGGATGAAAGTAAAACAAGAAATAAAAGCTTTCACTGTCTCTAATGTCTGTGCCATTTAACATTTTGCGACCCAGAAATTCACTGACAGTTTTGTATTACATAAAACAGGCACTATCGCTGGCACTGCCTTCTGAACGTGTAAAACTATGTTTTCTTAGGTATTGAGCACGTTTCTAAAACTACATTAAAAAAGTCAAAATTAAAGCCGTACATTGGTTTGGCTATGTAAACTAATTATACATTTTGTAAGAGTTATGACAAGCATGAATTGCTTAGTTCCGTCATCATTAGGGCTTCTCACTGAAACATGTCAGCTGCCTGAAATAAGCCAGGTTGGGGCGTAAACTGCCAAGCTGACTAATCCTTATATCATACATACTAGTGATTTCTTTTATGTCTCACTTCCATGTGATTTGTCTTTTACTTAGCATGGCATGGTTGCTGGGAATGGCATACTTCTTCCCAGTGTCTTCTTGAAGGAAAGAATTCAGGCACGAGACAGAGTTTGTGCAGCATAGGACAGCAAGAAGTTTATTAGCAAAAGCGGGTACACTCCGAGACAGGGACTGGCTGACCCAAGACAGGAAAATGAGGGACATACTTACTGACCTCACAGAGCTTCGTAAGAGTCCAATGAGATAATAGTTGTAAAAATGCATTCTTATACAAAGTTCAACTTAAATCTGAGCGATTACTATAATTCTTCCCAAATCATCTCAGCTTTACTTACTGTCCATAATGTGTGAAGAAGCTATTGTCAATTATTTTCTAGTGCATTTTGGGACTCAAGCACAAGGTTGTGGGATTTTTTTTTTTTTTAAGATTTTATTGGGGAGTTGGAGAGGGGAACAGCGTTCAGGAATCAGGGAAGGGGAACAGACAAGTTGCTGTCGTTTTGTTCTTCAGCCTAGTTGTGGAGGACGTCGCTTCACTGGCCCATGTTGGTATTATCATTGCGCTCTTCCCGGCTGAGGCAGATCGGTCACCGGCCTCTGGACCATCGCTCACGGCAGCTCTTGGCAGCTCACACAGGCTGCCGGCCGCTCACGGTAGCTTATGGCAGCCCACTGCAGCCTACGCCATCGCCGGCAACTCACGACAGCCCAGCTCCAGGTTGAGCTGTTGTTCACCATCTTCGCTGCAGAGGGCGCAGTGTCACTGGCCCATGTGGGATCCGAACCGGGGCCCTGCTGCTCAGAGCTGGCGTCCCAAGCCAACTCTTAACCAGTGCACCACTTGGCCGGCCCAGGATATTTCTTATTAAACGTTTTCTCCCTCATCCAGGATCATATTTAGGCTGAGTTCCCTCTGTGCATCCTGGAGTTATTTCTATCTGGGTCACAGGTCAGTTTCTTAATAATTTTACAGACAGTTCGCTGCCAGCTTTCCTTTGTTCATGACCACCTTCATTCTTTTCTCTCACCTGCACCCATCTTTTGTAAGGTCTTTGGGAGTTTGTTGCAGGTAAGATGGCAGAGAAACTTGGTTTTTCCCACCCACCACCCCATCCCCGGCCAAGGGAAAACACCGGCAACCACCATCGGAAAGCTTTTCTCATCTGTATAGTGGAAACAAGGATGAAGAAGGGCCCTAGTCAGAAGGGAGAGCCCGTTTCACTTAGGTGTCAGTTGAAGAAAACTGGACTAAAGGAGAGCTTCCGTGTCACGCTGCCGCGTGGCACAGCAAGGAGGCGATGGGGGCGTGTCCCGTCACCCTGGGGTCCCCCAGGAAGCAGCTCTGGCTTTCCTGCTTGCTTTGGCTGACTGGCTTTTATTCTGAATGGTGGTAGGTGAAGTTTGACCTTCTAGTCGAAAGTCAGGCAAAATTGCTAGCAGCATAGCTATTGTCCCTTTCAAAGGGGCCGTAACTAAGGTATTGGTCCGCAGGCCCGCCGCAGGCTTGCGCGTCCAGTCACCCGCGCTCACTGCATGCCTGCGCTGGGTGCTGAGCTCAGGGCTCCGCTAACAGGTTATTTCCAGAGGTGCCTGCTTAGGGGGCGAAGAACCCAGCCAAGCCAGAGACGTTAGGAAAGGAAAGGCGAGTGTCGCCTCCATCCTGTAAGAGCTGCTTACTGCACCCCTGTGTCCGACCTGGTCACCCCATCACATCCCTCATTCAGAGCCGGCAGACTGCATGCCTGATACTAGGACCTAGGTGGCCGGGAACTATCCCTGTCTGTCACCTGAGCCCAGACAGTGAGAGCAGGTGCTGCTCCCACGACGACGAACTTGAGGACATTGGCACATCAGGGCCCCGTCACTGACACATTGTGTGTCTCAGGATGGTGGCTTTCTGTCGTTCAGATGGTGGAAACAGGTTCTTTATAACTCATTCTACCTTCTACTGTTCCCAGTTTGGGGAGGAGGGGCTGGGGAGTCCCCCGAGGGGCGGGGAGCGGGGAAGAGCGTGGATTCCGGAGCCAGCCCGCTGCGGTGTGAGTCCTGCGCTTGCCAGCTGAGTGACCTTGGTCCGGTTCCTAATCTCTGCCTCGGTTTTCTTAATTATAAAATAGAGATTATAATAACGGCGCATACCTCATGGGGGGTTGTGAGGATTAAATGAAAGTCTACACAAAGTACTGGATTAGAGCCTGTCACTGTGTGAGCCCTCTTGTTAGCGGCTGTTATTACCGGAACCCTGACAATCGTGTCCCTGTCTCGGCAAGGACGCCTGGTCCCCGCTGAGCCATCTCACTCCCGCATCCGTGTGCCTTTTATTGTAACCACCTCAAATGGTACCCACGTGCACATCCGTAAGTGGTTTCCGCGTTACACGAGTGCTAATAACGTGTCTGCTTTAGGTGTTTGATATGTGGGTCTCATTTGGCACATGACGAACACAGGCATGGCTTTGTGAAATGAAATACAGCATATCTAAAAAATCAGTGCCAAGCATTGTATCCCTCTCCTTGCGTGCTTATATCTTAATTTTTTTTTTTAATCTCTTGTGTTTCAGCCTCTCTGTTTCTAGAAGTTGAGATAAATAAAGGATTTTAGATGGGAAATAAATCCAACGCAAAGTGTCCCTCCCGAGGTCCTTGTCCCCGTTGCCCCCTGGCTCTGTGGTTGTCCTTACTGTGCGCCCGTTCCTGACCCCCCTCTGGCTGGTGGCTGCGTTTCTAACTTGCCCTCCTGTGCCATGTTGTTTCCTGATTTATTTTATGATTTTATTTCTGACCGTTAGCTCCGATGTGACATAAAACCGGCAGTGGGGCTTACACTGAATTTAGCCTCCAGACAGTGCGGCGCACAAAATTATTAGCCTGAGAGTCAGGAGACCGGGAGTTGGAGACTGTTCCACATATGTGATGGCGGGTCACTTCGCTCTGGACTGCAGTCTTCTGTGACCTGGGGCTGAGTCACACCGTTGCTGAAGACGGCTTCTCCTGGTCTGTGGTCCAGCGTGCTCTGCATTTCCTGGGCGTCCCAGGCCCCTGGGTCTGATGCCGGGGTCACCTTCAGCCACGCCTGGCACCTGTCTCCCCAGGACCTCTACTTGATGGCTTCCTCCTGTCTCTGGGCTTCCCCTCTCTCCACTCCCTGGCCAGCCCTGACCACCAAGCCCGGGACCAGGGCCACACCTTCCCACCTGCCTCTTACAACACGAGTGGCCCCCCACCTCTGCACCTGGACGTCCTGTGTGGCAGCCACACTCTCATGTGCCAGAAAGCCCTTGAAATGTGGAATGTGCTGTAAGTGTAACATGCATACCAGGTTTTTAAAAATTAGTACCAAAAATAAAAATAGTCCATTAATCTTTATACTGATTATGTAGTGTGATGATCATATGGATATATTATGCTCCATAAAATACAAAATTATTTTTACCTCTTTTACTTGTTAAAATGTGGCAACTAGAAAATTAAAAATTGTGTATGTGCCTGGAAATATATTTCTACTGCACAGACCTGGCCTACGAGACAACACAGGAAAGGCAGGGACTTGGCCCCAATTTTTGTAGCCCGAGATTTACCACAACTCCCTGCACCTGTGTGGCACTCAGCAGGGTTTAACTCATCCAATTCGTGTACAGCGGAGGCCAGACATTTCACAGCTTAATCATCGTGATAGATTAAGTATCAGTGGAAGGTTTTCTGAACTATGTTTTCATTTTACAGTCTGAAGTCAACAAATTCTTTTAAAAAGCAAATGGCTTTTCATAATATTTAACAAGTGATAGGAAATGATGCTCTGGAAGGGTCATCCAGTAATTGCTGGTGTTTAAGGCAATAAAGGACAACCAAGAGACGAAGTCTGCTGCAAATGTGACAGCACTGAAATGTGTTCATCCTGGGTTGGGCTTCCAGTGGGCACTACAGGATGCTACGTCATACTGCTATGTGGTGGTGGGGTTTTTTTTGTTTGTTTGTATCTTTAAATATTTCCAAATTTAAAAATGTTAAATCTAGGCCCACAGGCTAGTTTGTTTTCACACCATTATCTGAAGGTGATTCCATGGTGTATCAGTCACTAGTTAAATGTGTCACCACCACCTTTCCTTGATCACTAGTCCAAGTATGAATGGAATCAGTAAAATCTCATAATCCGTAAATACTAGAAAAAGCCTCTTACAAGTTTCTTTCTGGTATATATCTAAATGAATATAATCAGCTAATGTTACATGATACTATCATTCCCAATAGTAATTTTTAAAACTATTTGCTGTCGCATCTGCTTATAATGAAGAGCTAGAATTTTATTACTTTCGTGTGCTCCTTTCATTCCTCCCAAAGGAAGTTACTTGGGATGAGTTGTGTTGAAAAGCAGTGTGTTTTTAGTGGCCTCAGAGGACACATTAAAAATGCTGACAGCAAAAAAAAATGAGACTTTTTAACAAGGTAGCAGTTAGTGGTTCCAAAGTGCAGAGGAAACAATGTAATTCCCCCAGAGTTAAAAGAACAAGAGTTAAAAGAACACCCTTGGAATCTAGTAAATAATAGTTACAAGTAAGATCAATTTCTAC